GAGTCGCACTTGATCCAGCGTCACCCAACAGTAGCAAGAATGTGACTCTGCAACCCTCAACTAAAATAAAAAAAGCAACAAAACAAAAACTGTCCAAATGCAATTGAGAGTTAGAGAGCTAGTTCTGTTGGATTGTTGTTATGTGCTCTCACGTCATTTGTTGTTGTTGTTGTTATGTGCCGTCGAGTCGCTTGCGACTCATACCGACCCTATGTACAATAGCCCTAAACTCCGCTGTCCTGTGCCAATCGCACTGCCTCTGACACACCCATCCCGATTATCCCAGTCACTGAATCAATCCATATCATAGAGGGCCTTCCCCTCCTGCGCTGTCCCTCCACCCTCCCAAGCATGATGTCCTTCCCCAAGGACCGGTCTCTCCTTACAATATGTCCGGAGTATGTTAGACGGAGCCTCAGAATCCTTGCCTTCAAGGAGCCACCTGGTTTAACCCTTTCCAGGATGAACCTGTTTGTTTTCCTAGCAGTCCATTGTACTCTCAATACTCTTCTCCAGCATCACAGCGCAAAGGCATCAATTCTCCTTCTATCCTTCTTGGTCATTATCCAACTCTCTGATGCATAACAAGTGATTGCAAACACCATGGCCTGGATCAGACTCACCTTAGTCTCCAGAGAGACACCATTGCTCTTCAGTACTTTGGAGAGGTCCCAAACAGCAGACTTTCCCATGGCGATGCGCCTTTTAATTTCCTGGCTACTGGTGCCGAGAGTGTTGACTGTGGAGCCAAGCAAACTAAAGCTGTGAACGATCTCCATCTCTTCACCATCCATCCTGATTCTGCCAATTGGTCCAGTGGTGAGAATCTTTGTCTTCTTGATACTGAGCCTCAATCCATATTGGAGGCTGCAGTCCTTGACCCTCTGCAGCAGGTGCTTCAGGTCCTCCTCAGTTTCAGCAAGCAGGGTTGTGTCATACGCATAACGCAGATTGTTGATAAATCGTCCACCAATCTTGACCCCACATTTCTCCTCATAGAGCCCAGCCTCAAGGATAATCTGTTCTGCATACAGGTTGAAAAGGTATGGAGATAGAATGCATCCCTGGCGTACACCCTTCCCAATTTTGAACCATGCAGTGTTCCCTTGCTCTGTTCTGACGACTGCCTCCTGGTCCAAGTATAGGTTTCACATTAGCACGATCAAGTGTTCTGGGATTCCCATTCTTCTCAGAGTCAGCCACAGTTTGTTATGATCCGCACAGTCAAATGCCTTTGCACAGTCAATGAAACACAGATAGACATTCCTCTGGTATTCTCTGCTTCCAGCTAAGATCCATCTAACATCAGCTACAATATCCCTAGTACCATGACCCCTTCTAAACCCAGCCTGGACTTCTGGCAGTTCTGTGCTGATGTGCTCCAGTTGTTTTTGGATAATCTTCAGTACAATCTTGCTTGCATGTGAAATCATTCACGTCGCTTAGCGAGTGTATATTTATTCCCCAAAAGCATTCAAAACTTTAAGCATCTGGCTCTAACTGTTAGATTAGGTTAGGTTAGTGTACTTGAAGAAGAAATCTAACCTAACCTAACACTAACCTTGTCTAATTCCTCTTACCATCAATCACTAACCTCTCCAGCATACACATAATTCTCTCTCTCCTCTTACTCCCTGTTCCTTCTCCATTTAATCTGTAGCTGTACACTTAATTCTTATTGATCCAGGTAGGACTAAATAAAGTACACCTTGGTTTTCTTTTTTCTAGGATCTGAGAGAACCTGCTAAGACTTAAGTGATAAGTCAGATTTAAGAAATTGTTTTACAAGTAAATTTTTTTATATATAATCTCATACTGTTTACAAATTATTTAACTTTGCTATTACATACTTTTAGTTGAATTAAAATCTTAAACTTAGTTCTCATTATTTCTGTGTTCCTCTTCAATTTTTTTAGTTGATTGTTTTGACTGACTTTAAAGACAGTTAAGTCTTCATATGGATCTAACAGGGTTTTTAGTTTAAAGCGTGAAAGATTTTTGTCTTCCTACTTGTTTGATTCTTAACTATACTTCACATATAGTGAACTGTATGTGGTTTATTCAGAGAGGTCTTATCCAGAGCACTTGGTCATCATCACTCTACCTTTCTTGGTTTGTCTATCACTTAGGAGATTACGTATGGACTAAATAGTATTAGCAGCCTTTTGCTAACATGCACACATATGGATGGATTTACTTCTATAACGATAACACATGCTAGACCCTGCGAATCTTTAAATTTCTGTTTTATGACTTTTGCCATCAGATAGTGTTTTTGTTGTCGTTTCTCAAAGTTCATAGAGTTTCCAGAGGCATGTTGTTTAGGAAGTTGATGGCCATTCCTGCTTCCCATAAAAATGCATTCAGACTTGAAGATAGTAGAAATTACTTCATTATATCTTCCCCTCTAAAAGAACAATTTATTTAAATTTTAAGATATTTTTTTCAGGTCTATAGTTTAATTTCCCTGGTACTTAGGTACATGTTTGCCATCATTATTTTTCAAGGTAGGTCTGGTTTGCTTTGTTTTGTTTTAAAAGAATAAGTGAAAAGATTATTTATCTCCTTAGTGTCACATGTCTGGAGCCTATCATAGTTTCAATCTCTAAAGACGTTTATTAATCTGACAGTCTGTTTGCAATGGAATTTTAGTAATGACCTACCTTGAAGATGATGTTCAAAAATATACTTTGAAAATTGCTAACAAGTTTTAAAAGGTTGAATGTAAAATATTTAACAGTTCATGGACTTTTATCATTTTCGTTTTAATACTGATCTTATTTATGTCCAAGAGCTTAATAACTAGTCATTGTTGAGTGATAGAACACTTTGCATGCACCTAGATAATCTTTGAGGGGTTTCCCATGCATGCTGTGGGTTTTTTCTCTTTAATATGTAAATCATTATTGTCATTTTTATATTTGAGGAAACTGAAGGTAGGCATTCCAGATCACTTTGGTACTTTTACTGGTTTTATTTTAAATATTACTGGATGAAGATTGTCATTTATTTTGTTTCTGTCGATTGATTTTCCATCATAATTCTAAGATTGCCAAGATTAGTGGTTCTAGAGTTCACCTGATCAGGTTTGGTTGTTTTTTAGTGTTTTTTTTTCCACTTTTTAAAAATGAAGTTTAATGAAAGTTTACAGAGACTTTGGATTTTCATTCATTCATTGTTGCACTTTTCTCCCT